CCTGTGCTGAGATTGGGCAGCTTGTACCAGTATTTTGGTTGACTCCCTGATAGCCGAGAAATGCACCAGCCATAAACAGATTGCACCATGCTTAGGGAATTCCATGTTCATCACACCTCCATGAACAGCTATCTTGTAGACTGGTGCAATTAGGAGAGACAAATCTCCCACTCTGATGCCTTTTTCTGAAATGTTTTGTCTCCCTGTTGACATAAACCTCACTAGCAATGCCAGGAGAAACACATGTACCTTCCCCCCAGAGCTCAGGGGAGCATGCAGTCCAGTTTTGGTAGTCCTTCAGGTGGCTCAGAAGACCAGCTACTCCCCATGCCAGTGCAGGTTTCCAAGCTGAACATCCTAGGGAATTAGAGGACCAACAGGCTTTCATTCCCCAAGGCTGACCTGACAAAGAGGAGCCGGAGGAATCCCCAGTGACAAAAGGAAACTGGGCAAAGAGACTTTTTCAGCTGCTGTTGAAGGAAACTTCTTGTGGAGTATGGGAAAAAGAGAGAGAGATGTAAAATCTCTCTGACGGTTTTAAGTCGGGGGGCAGAGAGAAGTTGATTCTCTGTAGAGAGGACTGAGTCATACAGAGCGCGCTGAGGAATGGCGAGATAACCAAGGCAGAGGAAAACACGTTGGGGTTTGTTATTCCACCTAGAGCTATTTGTCTCTCTTCTACCCAGAGGAAAGAGCAGCTTGTTTCAAAAAAACGAAGTCTTCGCAGCAGAAAGCCTATGTGCCTGTTTGCATGACTGCTGATGTCCTGGCAGGGGTAACCAGCCAGACCAGTGCCTACTGGTAGGTTCGTAAAGCAGCATTGCTTGATCGCACCACATGCAAGGCCCAGGGAACTCAGCATCTCTTCACACCTCTGTCTGGCCGAAGACACCGCTGCAGGCGCTGCCGGCAGTCTCCTGCACCGCAGCCTGCAGTCCCACGTCTCCTGTGTCAGGGCTTCGGTCATGCAGGGAATGGAACGTTTGACTCTCCGTGTTACCCCGAGAGATGAATCAGCAACAAGTTGTCAAGCTGTTCTTCTTCTCTTATTTTTTCTTTAAAGTCAACAAGAATTTCACATGCAACTTGCCTCACCTTGCATCAAAACTCCTCCTCTCTCTCTTTACTCACCTCATCCTCTCCTTTGCATGAAACCTCAGTCACTTAGTCATTTAATTAAACTTTTGTAACCATGATGTAATATGCCCACACGTCGGAGTACTAGAAAAATAATAGCAATATTTAAGTTTACCTCCCTTGCCTTTTTCTCCCCTCTAACCACTAGACAATGCTCATTCCTAAACTGTTAAAAATTTGACAGAGTCCTTACAGCTCCACGGGCTGGAAAAAGTAACCCCACAAGACATTGTAAGAGAAACTTAGAAAGCCCAAGGCTGGCTTCAGGTAAATGAATAAGCAAAAAAAAAAAAAATCAACCCCACAAAAGCCGAACAAAGCAGCAATGAAACTTGTCAGATCAAATAGAAGGTTCTGTCTGACCTCACAGGATTTGAGTGGCTTCAGACATATCAGTTCTTCCATTCTTACTCACGCTCGCTCTTCTCCCTGGGAGGGCTACAGAAACAGTCATATATAACATGTCTCAGCAGTGACGGTTCCAGCTAACTACAACAACCGAGCCGAGACGCGTATCCAAGTAAGCCTGCCAGGGGCCAGTCCACACTGTGCCTCCATTTTTCATCTCTGACACCCTGATGCCTCAGCACATGCCAGGACCTCAGCTGGCGATCGGCTTTTGCTTTTGCATCACAGGTGCCCTTCAGGCCTTTGCTGTGCACCAGTCACCTTCCTCCCCGTCATGAGTGGCCACGGACTGGTAAAGAGCCAGGACACACAGATGCAATATGCAGTATTGATATGAGGGATGCTGGCCATAGCTGTCCAGGGGATAGCTCTCCCTTTCTGAATTGGGTATCTCTGCTGGGTGAAGCGGAGCTGCAGCAGGCACTGGCAGGGCTGTTTGCCAGCACAGCCACCTCCCATCTCCACAGGTCTGTGAGAAAGAGCTCCCACCGTGCACCAGCCCTGCTCATTGCTCATCCTGCCTCGCTCTCTGCCTGTGCTTTGTCTCTCAGAGCTCGCTGGGCGTACCCATGCTTCCACTGTGCTTTTGCTGTAGTAAACGCAGTGACCCTATGTGACCAGTCCTTTCTGTAGCACAGTCCCTTCTACCACTGTATGTACTGAGCCTCCCTAAGATTTTTAAGACACTAGCATGCTGACCTCCCCTTTCCTCCACCCAGGTAGGTAAATAGGATGCAGCATCTGATACACATCAACCACAGAAGAGGCTATGTCTCTATCAAGCAGCTCTCTGTGCTCGGCCACATAGCAGCACAAATGTTTCTGTGTCATGCAGAGCCCTGATTTGGCCAGCTGCACACCCAAAAATGCACAGGCATCTCCTGGAAAGGGTTCAGCTGGCCATGAGAGCTGACTGTGGGCCTGCAACGTGCCCACTGGGCTCAGCGCTGGCCGGGTCCCTCAGGCTGGATCATGTAGGAAAAACATGCTTGTGCCTGGGAAGAAAGGACGTGAACCCCAGAAGCCCCCCAGGCAGTGGGAGCAGACCAGAAACCTCATATCAGGAGATGATCTGGACTTGTCGCTTCTTGTCAGCCACGTTCTCCGCAGAGGAGAGTCTCTCTGGAGCCCTGTTAAATGATGCCCAAACCCTGGGTTACCTCCACACGTGGCCCAGGCTACTCCATCAGGAGAGAGAAGATCAGCTCAGACCACTGCAATCCAGAAACATGACCTGCAGGGAAGAGTCACTTATTTTCTTTAAGACAGAATAAAACCCCAAACATCACAATGGCCAGCCCTGCTGACGGACCTGGGGTAGCCTCTCTAGTACAGACACCCTTCCCTTGCTGGGGAAGGGAACAAAATACTTGATAATTTCAAAATAAATTTCAATAATTTGAATATTTTTAGAATCATAGAATGCTTGGGGTTGGAAGGGACCTTTAGAGGTCATCTAGCCCAATTGCCCCCCTGCAGTGAGCAGGGACATCTTTAACTAGATCAGATTATTAAATAATTTTAAATAAATTTTAAATATAGTCCAAAAACTACTGATAATGTCAGCATTAAATATTCATTAAGTATTTAATGGCAACAATAAGCAACTATGTCACTAAATTAACAGCTCATTAGCTAGATAAACAGATTATTTTAATAAAGCCCTTGTGGCACAAGCAGTGTATGAATTAACTTCATGTGGTTTGAAATTGTATAATACTGTCATGATGTTAACTTTGCATCCTTAGTCAGAGCCCACAAGCTAAGTAGTAGATTTGCTCTGGTCAATGTAGAGCAATATTTGAGGACGGGATCACAAAACCGAAACATCTGTCCTGCTGGCAGCTGTGCCCCTGACTCAACAGTCACAGCCACTCTCTGACGCAAGCCGAGCAGCACCTCACGTTATCCTGCAAGGAGAAGCCAGCTTTGTCCGCCTTGGGAGATCCCAGCACTATTTATAACATGACTGTCCACCCCTCTGCACTGCTGTCTCTGAAACGTGCGGGTCTGCATTGCCTTTAGTATTTCAGATAAAAAGACGTAACAGATCCTTGCCCCTTCCTGATGTGCAGCAGCAGCAACTGCCACATCCTGCCCCAGAGCTGAATACATTTGCTGTCGAGACGAGTTACTGTGTGCTGACCTGTAGAACCCTTTGGGAGCTTTCCAGCCCCTTCACCCATACAGCAGAGAGCACAACCTCAGCGTGAGTTTCCTCTGGGCACCGAACACCCTGTCTCTCTCCAAGCTGCTTGCCAGTAAAGAAAGGAAGCAATGTGCTCAGTCAGTTTTACTACAGAAATAGCTGCAAGCTTGCGGGCACATGTACATACAAATGCCCTCTCCCCACTTGGATGAGAGTCACTAGGAAAGCCACACAGCCCAAACCGCAATCAGGAGAGGATAACAACTTCCAGCCTTTCCTGCCAGGGTCTGGGTCCAGCATCTCCATCCCCGTGCTATGCGAGTTGCCCCTCTGATACTAGGAGGGGGTGGGGACAGTGAGAAAGCATCAATCAAGCAAAAAGGTCCCTAAACTTTGACCTTTTGAGGCATTTTCCATCCTGAGAAATGCAGTGGAAATATCCAAGTGCAGCAACAGCTGTGTGAACGGAGAGATTGCAGCGTTCACTTCCCTCTGGCCGCACCAGTAGCCAGGCCATTTCTAAGTTTTGAAGAAATAGGTTTCCCTGAAGCAAGTGACAGCAAACCACAGGCCACACACCACCGAGCTGAGAGCAGCACCGTGGAAAAAGAAATAAATGCTGCACGCTGCTGAAGAGCCACTGTTCACCATGACCATCAGAGCTGCAAGAAGGCTGGACCAAAGGCAAAGGTGGTGATGATGCACCAGAGCTGCAGCCTTCTTGCAGCAACATGGCAGACAGGCCTAGGGGTTAACCCATGCAAGGGAAGAGATGTATCGTCCAAATACCAGAGTGAAGGGGTTTTTGGTTGTTTTTTTCTAGCACCAAAGAGCCACTTCCTTCCCTTGCCCTTCAGACTGCCACGTGGGAAGTGCTGCTGGGGCCCGAGGGCACACAGAAGAGCACGGTACCTTTGGGGACAGCAGTGCTTCTGTTCAGCAATGAGCGTCCGGCTCCACTCAAGCTCAAGCCTGTGTTTTGACATCAGTTCCCTTCCTGCTGGCCAAACAGAGCTTGGGCTGCCTGGTCTGTGCTGCCCACATCACACCTCCCTGGTCCCCAAAGCCTGATGTTTCGATGCTAGAGCCCCAAAGCAACATGGCAGGCACCCTGTGCTCCACCAAGCAGGCAGCAAAAAGTGGGGTCAGGCTCCCAGATTTCTGCCATCCTGCTGGAGAAGGAACAGGGTACTGGCCCCTGAACAGAGAGGCCTTCAAGTTTTTGGCCACTGCAGAAGCCCAGTGCCCCAAATGAGGAGAGGACAGTGCCACTTACTAGAAAAATATATCTTTATTTACCATCTGTGTTTTGCTCAGAAGAGAATATCCCGTGACAAGGGGGCCAGCCAAAGCCATGCCTTTGATGGTGGCCAACACACCCTCACCTGTATCCTGCAGGGGGTGGCAGGATCAGGTCTCCGTGGGGGAGCCTGATGTGTCAAAAGGGCAGGAAGGGGGCTGGAGATACTGCTTCCATCTTGGGCCCTGTTCTCCACCACTGTGTTGTTCAGGTCCTGTCAGCAGAGCACATGGCCTCCCCACCAGCCCGGCATGGTCATGGTTTCTCTCCAGGGCCAGGACCTCCTTCAAGGGCACTACTGCTTCTGGCGCATTCCTTGCAAGGCAGTCAGGATGAGTTAAATAAAGGGGTTGGGGGACACCTTCTGGGATGGGAACGGTCGATAACTTAACACAAAATGAATGTATCGCACATAACGAGCCAGCTAGCAGGCAGATGTCTGTCAAACAGCAGTCACTGTGCCAAGTCCCCGGGCAGGGTGGCCAGCCATAGCTTGGGGTGGGTGGTTGATGCCTTTGCACTACCTGTTCCCACACCACTGCCTGCAATGTGGCACGCGGCCCTGGCTCCCGGGGCCTCCTCAACACCCGCCGGCTGTACCTGCATGCCTGCTAGCCGAAGCTCACCAGGGCCATGATGCCATATGGGGCCCCTGGCACCAGCATCTTCTCAGGTAGAAAGTAGTGAGGGGTCTTCAGCACACTACATTTTGAGTTTGTTGGGGTTTTTTTTGGGGGGGAATAACGTGCAATTCTCTTCAGGTTGATGCAGTACAGCCCCAGTGCTTCCCAGAGGTCTTCTTTCAAGCCTTTACCAGTTCCTTCAGCCCTCTCATGCTGAAGGCCAAAACGTGGTTTCTTGGTGAGCTTCCTGGTGCAAGACCCTGGTTTGGCCACTGCCGCTCAGGCAGCACTCACCCCTCATGTGTCCTAGTGTGTGTGGGGGGCTGCCAGCCACACTCCAACAGCCCCATTTAAAGCTTAAATAAACCGAAGAATGTCTTGGATTCCTCAAAATTAACCAGAGTGATTTTGGAGACATTGACATGCAAACTGTCCATCTTCCTGAGCTTGAATAAAGCTCCCAGGTAGCTTTTCCGGGCCCACGTTTTCTGACTCATGCAGTAGTTGATGCCTTTGTCCTCCATCAGCACATGGCTGCCTGCAAAGGCTGGGTTTTTCTTGTAGACGATGTGGGTCAACACCTGGCTGCTGCAGACGCTTCCCCGGAAGAGCACGTTGGAGTACACAAAATACAGGCCGGTCTCGTTGATGACAAGGCCCTGATCGCGGTATTGAATGCCGTTGGTGAAGGCATGGCCGGAAACAGGTTCCCACTCCAGAGGAAGGTCCCGCTGCATAGGGGTCCCTGGAAGAGGGAAAAAGTGCGGTAAGTACAAGCAGTTGTGTGGTTTTTCCCCCTCGAGTCACACTCCACGTCACAAGAAGTCAACTGTTCTCCAAGCCCTTATCTTCAGCATGGAAAGTCTGCCCTGACCTCATGCTGGTGGGAGCTCTCACCGCCACCTCGCTCAACGCCAGCCGCTTGTGACAGCCTTCTACCCCACACACCAGTGGGTGTTTGGAGTGCAAACCAAAAACCAAACCAAAAAGCAGAGCCCTCACCAAAAAGCTTAAGTGAGGGGAAGATTTTAGCTGTGCAGTGAATTCCCACTGTCAGAGAACCCGTGTTACTGGGGGAAAACGGGAAAGCCTGTGCAAGGTGGGCTCTTCACAGCTTAAACCTTGCCACCCTCTCACCCCAGCCACATCCACCCTATCCCCTGCTCCCACATCTTGCTGGCCCCCCAGAACGCACCTGTTAAGTGCGCTGCCTTCCTCGTTTCCTTTGTCATTGACTGCTCCTGCCCTGCAGAAAAATAGGGAAGATGTTAGCCAAGTGCTCCATGGAGAAGCCAGCCCAGAGAGCAGAAGGGAGCCAGCCATGAAGCTGAAGTGGGGCAGACCCAGAGCAGCACAGGGCATGTAAGCAAAAAGGAAGAGTTGTAGCAAAGGATCCAGATGTGATCAAAAGCAAGAGGAAGGAGCAAAGAGAGCTTTCATCTTAAAATGGCTTGTTGGTGAGCTCAAGCAGAGGCCTCTCCCTCAGTGTGTAGGTGAGGGGCAATACTGCCACTCTACCCAGCATCTCTGGCCCGTGCCAAGGTGACTGTTCATGTCCTGACATAGATGAGCCTGGTCTGTTGCCCCCCTTCAGTCCAGCACCACCAAGGGCAGATGTAACCATGGCAGCAGACTTCTGTCTGCTGAGTACCAACCTTCCTCACAATTAGATCAGGGAAGAAACTGCAAACCATCCTGCTGGCCAGACAGACCCTGTCCTCAGAGAGGCAGGGTACAGCTGGGAAAATTCTGCCTTCCTTGGAGGGCTTGGTTCCCCTGGGAGAGAGGGGCCAGTTACAGTGACTCGGTGTTTGGGCCCCATCCCACTCCATCGTTCCCTTCTTAGCATCTACTTCCAAGCATTACATTCTCAAATTTTAGAAGCCTTTCTTTTCTCAAGCCAATTAGTTTTTCCCCTCCTCTCTCCCCTCTCCTTTACACTATTTCCCTGACTTTTATTTATTTATCCCCCTCAAGAAATTCAGGGTTATTTATGACATATGTTCAGCTACTGCTAAAGTAGCCTGTGATCAGAGCACTGAGCATCCAGTTAAAGTGACAGTTCCCCTTCCCCTAAGCAAGAGATGACAAAATTTATTGATAAGGGAGTTGATGGGAAGCAGGAGTGCCCTTTTCAGAGAATTTTGCTATTTGCAAATTTGCTTTTACTCAGTATCAGAACAAATTTGAGAAGAAATTAACTTTCCTACTAACCAAAATCCTCAAGGGGAAAAAAAAAAAATCAAAATCTTTCCAGATCTAGCAGATATTGTCAAGAGAGTTGAAAATTTCTTTCCAACTTGGCCAACTTTAAAAAGGGATATCTTCACTGATACCATTAACACAGAATGTAAAAGTAAAATAGTAGTTTGGAAGTTCAAGATATGATTTTTAAATTGTTCCATTCATATTGAAACTGTTTTTTTTCATAAATTAAGTTTAGAAAAATTGGCTGGTTCTTGTGGAAAGTTTCAATTTCGCCAAAATGACATTTCTAAAAGAAAAAAACCCATAAGTAATCAAGCTTTTCTCAACCAGCTCTCGCTGCAGTGAGACTTGGTACCAAAAGAATTTAGGAAAAAATAAGTTGTGCTCTCAAGGGTGGGAGTGAATCCCCCACCCCCAAAGAAAATGAAACCCTCTGCATCTTCCCAAAAGTCTTAAAAGAGAGAGAAAGCAGTAACATGTGCACTGCCCATCTCTGTCCTCCTCCTTCCATTCATGTTGTCGCTATAGATTAGGACAGCCAGAAACTCACTTCTACAGCAGAGTACCCCCAGTACCGTTGTCCCACTGGTCCCGGGAGGCTCCAAGGCAGGGGCACACTGTCCCAGGAACCTGTGGCTGGCACCTCTAAAGACTCCAACAGGCAGGGTGCAGGACCGCTTCCCAAACCCAAGATATAAAGCTCTTCTTCCAGGCAAGCAAGTGACATCAGCACTTTCAGAGCATCGAGCTGCAACCCTGCCCTTGCCCCCCGACGAGGAGAGAGAAGTCATCGACAGGAGCATTCACACGCACCAACACAGAGGAGTTGCTCCTCCATGTACATCAACTCACCTATGAGTTTCTCCAAAGCTGGAGGGATGTGTTGAGTGCTGGCAGACTGTCAAAAGAGAAGGGTGGCAAGATGTCTTAACAGAGAGAGCATAAGGGCATCATCTAAAGCAGCCACGGATTATCCGTGACAGTGGCTAATTCTGGGTGCTCATGGGGAGCTACCAAGTGCTAAGAAATATACAGGGAGAGAGACCTTGCAGCACTCAGAGACATGAAGACATCCAGATATATCAGCCACCAACAGAGAAGTCCCCCACAGTAATAAGGAACCCCACTTACACTGGCATGGCAGACATTAAATGCCACCAGCCGGCCCCTTGGGGAGTTGTGCACCATTGGAGCATCTCAGGCCCCATTTTAAGTTTTTCTTTTTTCCCCATTTCCCCAGAGCCTCTGTGACCAGCTGGGCAGACCTCACCTCTCTGAGTTCAGCCAGTTCCTTCTCCAGGTGGAAAATCTGAAACATGCTCAGCCCCACTCCAGTTAAGGCCAGCAGGATCAGCAAGAAGACCACCAGGAAGCCGACGCTCCTCCGTTCCCTGTTGTTCCTTGGCTTGCTCCTCCGGTCGGGTACTGGTGGTGGGAAAGGAGCGACGGGGGGTGTCGAGGAGCAAGAAGCACTTGCGTTGGCACAGCCATCCATCCAAAAGATCTGGGGGTATACGTAGTTCAAGTTCTGCTGCATGGCTGGGAGCGGGATGGGCTGGACACGCTTGGCATTATCTTCCATATGGCAGCCAAAAACTGCCGAGGCTGTCCCAGACTGAGCCCTGGGGGAAGACCCAGCTCTGCCTTTATACGCCTGCATCACTCCAGCAGTGAACACCCAGCTCAAATGCTGCAACTCTATGAAAGCCTCAAGCATCAACAGTAAACCCCAAAGAGTTTCCGCCCTCGGCTGCAAGTTCGGGGCACCCACCTGCTCCTCCCACACCGAGGCAGCAGGCTCGCACAGCGGGACCAGCCCGGCACCAAATTGCGCTCGCACAAAACTGTGCTCAGCGGTCGGGCTTGGGAAGCCAGTGCACGCCGAGTGAAGAGCTTGCAGGGCACACGAGGGCTGCACTGCCAGTCGGGGGCTGAGTAATCAGCCCAGCGCACACCCACCAGCCCACCACCCTTTCCAGCAGCCCACTCGAGCAGAGGCAGCTGCTTTTCCACTGCGGTGTCCTGGACCACAAGCAGAGGAAATGAGAAAACCTCTCCTGTTTCTGGCATCCTGCACAAGAGCAGAGAGGCAGAGCTGAGGACTCTTCCCCTTGGCAGAAGGATGAAGACCTGATCCCAAGTGCATCTGTGGGTGCTGGGGAATTGCTTCATTTCACACAGAACAAATTACTTACCGCTGCCTGTTGCACATCCCACCTTTTCCTTTGGCTGTTCCACAGGGCACGGATCCTGAGTCAGAGAACCCTGGTCAGAGACACCACCCCACCGTGAGAAAAACCAACCAACCCACCCACCCGAGAAGAGGCAGACGTTGTCAGGGTCGTAGCCTCAGCAGCGCTGCCCCGGCGTTAACAGCCCAAGCAGAGCCAGCTCAGCAGGCTGCCTTCACCTACACCAAATCTCTGTGGGGCACTGGCCATGCTGAACAAGCAGCATGCTGTGATGCAGGAAACACACAGCACCTTCGGGCATGGGCAGGCTCTTACAGCAGCTTCTGCTGCCCCACTTCCCTCTGCAAATGCTATCTTCAATCCAACATTCCTGACCTAAGGATGCGTTAGAGGGGGAAGGCCTTTTTTATCACCTCTTCAGGACAATGCTGAGCACTGCAGCAGGACCTAACCTGGCTGAGTAACTGTCCTGGTTTCGGCTGGGACAGAGTTAATTTTTCTTCATAGTAGCTAGCATAGCGCTGTGTTTTGGATTTAGTACTAGAAGAACGTTGATAACACACTGATGTTTTTAGTTGTTGCTAAGTAGTGCTTAGACTACTCAAGGACTTTTTGAGCTTCTCCTGCTCAGCCAGGTGCATAACAAGCTGGGAGGGAGTACAGCACAGCTAGGACAGCTAACCCAAACTGACCAAAGAGCTATTCCATACCATATAACATCATGCTTGGGGGGGGTTAGTCGGTCGGTCGTGGGCAGAGGGATCACAGCTCGGGACGGGCTGGGCATCGGTCAGCAGGTGGTGAGCAATTGCATTGTGCATCATTTGTTTTATATAGTCTGCATATTATCTTACCATTATTATTACTACTATTGTCATTCTTCTGTCTTATTAAACTGTCTCTACCTCAATCCACGGGTCTTACTTTTTTTTCCGATTCTCTCCCCCATCCCACTGGGGGGTGGTGGTGGTGAGTGAGCAGCTGCATGGTGCTTAGTCGCCAGCTGGGTTAAACCACGACAGAAACCTGTGATTAAAGCCTGGGGTAGACGTTGCACTACTCATCTTGGTAGAATTTCTCTCGCCTTCCAAGAAAGGATCCAGAATTCATGCCATGCTGCAAGGACCAGCACTCATAAGAGCTCATTACAAAATCATAACGAGGAGAGACAGGGACATTTCTATTCCTCAATTTCTAATTCCTCATTGAGCACAGATTTCTAAGTGGTGGCAATGAGATTTTCCCCCAGATTTAGAGGCGCACACAAGTGATTATAAACAGCAGTTTGCTCTTCCATTCACAGACCTACGTTGAAGCGTGCATTTGTATGGGGTAGTTAAAAAAAAGGAAACGCTTAATACAAGAACAAACTGGAGATTCGTCTCCTCTGTGGCTGAAGGAAGCAATCCTAACATGCAGGCTTTGATCTTAAACATCAAAACTGGGGTCTGAGAACAGCATGCTTTAACAACATATGCACACTTGTTTCTCCAAAGCAAGGGCTCAGCTTTTCCTCCAACCGCACCAGCAAGTCAGACGTGTCCTCAAAGCCTTGCCTGCACCACCCAGACACCCCACTGCTTTTTGAAGATGTTCACCACAGCCGTTTAGCTGCAGTAGCACCACAGCACGAGAGGTTTCAGCAACCCGTCTGGCTCTTCCTTGTACCTCTAGGTTTCCAACATAAAAGACGCAAAAGCAACATAAGTCCGGCTCCAGCAGTTCAAGCCTGGTCCTGCCTACCCTCACTCAGTCCTCCCTTCTCTGCACCCCAGAAGGGCACTCCCCCGCCAGCCCGAGGATGGGCCCCATCCATTCCTACAATCAGTTAAAAGAGAGTGGCTGGGCTGGGCTCAGCTCCGCACCTCCCATGCCACACGGTGAACTCCAGCCTGCCAGTCAGTGCTGGGCATGGAGAGAGAGAGATGCCTACAAGGCATGGGGAGCCAAGAGGGGCAAGCAGGACAGTTGGGCAAGCATCTCCTGCCCAGCAGTCTCCACCACCCAGCCTGCACAGCGCCCCAGCCCTGCTGCCGCCACGGGTGCCTGAGCCAGGGGGGTGGGGGGAACTTGCCACCCACTCGGGCTCCTTGCTCGGTGGCCAGTGTCTGCACTCCCTTGCTCTGAGAGCAGCAAGCACAATGTGCCCATGGCTCTCTGCAACACAGATGTGGCTGTCGGGGAGTTCCTGTTTCTTGACTGCTTTCTGTGGGTCCTTCAACTGCTGTGAAATACAGCGATGGCTCAGGGAGCAGGGACTGAAGCCCAGGACTTCCTTGAAGTTGGAGGCATTGCTGACAAGAACGTCAGAAGTCATCAAGCACACAGCTTTGCCTGGAGAGGATCCACTTAAGTTTTTTCTGACACTGTTTAATGCAGAGAGCTTACCTTGGTGGGATTGTGGGCACAGTAGCAGTCTCCCTTAAATGTCAGAAGTGTACTTATTTCTCACCCACTGCTTCCTATTTTCATGAAGATGCTTTTTTATGGGTGGTGAGAAGGCAGAGATGATGAAACCAATGAAAGCCATTTCAGCCATGTCTGCTGCATCTTCTCTTTCAGATGCTCAGATCAAGAGCCTGCTAATACCACATGTTGTGGCAAGTCAAAGATTGGGGCTATTTTACCATCAAAGGATCAGTTTTGGTGCACAGTGTGCTCTCAGAGACCTCTCCCTTTCTAGCACTCTCTACGGTGCTGGTCCTACTGTTGCGCTCTACGTTTCCCCTGTCACCACCTTCAGCGATCACCAAGATGATACAGGCTGGAAGACAGTGGCAAGGGGTGTCAAATTTGACTGTCTGCCTCCCTATCCCCCCCTCTTCACCCAGGCTGCAAAATGCACAGTGGTTTTTTTCTTACTATGTCACTTGAACAGGAGGGATTTTCAAATAGAAACACATTCCATGCCCTTTATCAGAGAATCCATCCCCTTTGCCAAAAACAAGAGACAAGCCACAGTTACAGACAGAAAAAGAGGATTTGCTCAGAAGAGCCCCCTCCATCCCCACCTTGCCCCCAGAGGAGAGGTGGAAGCTCTTAGTAATGACACGCACCATTATGCTAAAGCTTACGTTGCCAGCAAAGAGAATCAGCCAGCAGCTGAAAGTTTGTATCAGCAGGTTTAAGGACAAAAGGATGACCTGCTTGAAATACAGCAAAGAAAGCAGGACTTGAACAATGATCCAGACCTAATACTTGACAGAAAAAAAAAAAACCCAAACCCATATGTGTGAATCACTGTGTAGGAGAGGCTCTGTTCTGGACAGTCAGGTATGTGTCTGTCTGAAAGCGATTAATAAGTATTTCCTATTACACTAGAGACTAGTGGAAATGCTAAAAAGCAACTACCAAAAGCCCACAGTGCTGCGCAAATTACACCCAAGAACAACTGAAGTTGAGAATCATTCGCGTTCCAAAAACCAGGATTCAAAGCATTAACCCAAGACATTAACAGCCTCGCCACCTTTTGCACTCCCAGGCTAAACCATGCCATCAGAGACAGGAGAAGCAACCACTGCAAAGCCAGTAAGGATCAGCCACAGCTTTTAGAAGAGGTGGCACCCACTGACGCGTGCCGATGGGTACAGTGGAAAGAGTAACTAAGAGCACCACCAGGACAAGGCTTCTGATTTTCCATCAGGATTGTCCTTAGCACAGCACTATTTCAACAGCTTTACCGCAGATCTGGAGAAATCCAAGCGAAATATTACACCAGTAGTATTTGCAGATTAAAATAACTGGTAAGAGTTATATAAGTAACCATGAGGAGAGAGAATTTAATCAGAAGAAAACAAGTCTAGAAAGAAAGACTGCAGATCAAACTCTTCAGAGAGAAAATAACATCCTAGAAAGAAAACACAGTTCTGAAACTGATAGAGAGGCTACCCAGCTGGACACGACCCAGCTGGACAAGAGCTTCCAGCAGGGAAAGCCCACGGGCTCCCATAGGTATGAGCTCATGTACAGCACTAGACAGCTACAGTGTCCCAGAACCCACGCTGCAAGTTTACGTTTGACTTCAGAGGGAGTCAGGAAGAAGTTGCAACAACTGCTGGACAGCAGAGGCATTCAACTTGGTCCATTCAAGAGGGGATTAGCAGGGAAGGATGTACAGAGTGTGGAAAAAGCTGTATAAAGAGGGACAACTTCCAGCAGCGGAAGGCTCTTACATCTCACAGAAAAAAAAAACCTCCCCAAGGAGCCAAAGCTGAAGAAGTTCGCACAAAAAAGACACGGATTTTTGACTGAACACTGGAATGGATGCTTGTGATGACTGCTTCCAAAGGTAGCAGGGTCTCCATCCACTGAAGCCTTCGAGGGGCACAGAAGACACCAGAACACACCCAGCCTTTGCAGCGAGCACTGACATCTTGGTGTTGTTTCTATATTACGGTTTTGTTAACAGTTCAGTTTTCCCAGGCAAGGGTGACTGTTCTCATTTCCTCAGCAACTGCTCTTTGCTATAGAAGTATCTGCAGCGCATGGAGAGCCGTGTCTTGGGGCCAACAGCTCATGAGGAAGACATTCGCGTATTCACACTCGAGAGCGGGTTTCAAATTTGTTTTTCTAACGGCTCTGGCCTGAGGTTGCAGTGCCTAATATGGCCCTCTTCAGTGAGCAAGGTGCTTTGTTCTCTCCTTCGTTAAGCGTGTGCCCATTACACCATGATCCCAACAAGCAGGCAGCAGCCCTGGGTTCA